TGTSKCSMYASRSSCMCAYWTGTATCCCACAATGCAGCTCACCATGAAATCACACATGCGCAATGTGTTCGTAACATACYGTGGAGGTTGTTCCTGACATTGGTGGAGTCTGAATGATTCTATTTTATTCACTGAAATTACTCTAAAAATACATGAAATAACAAAGGCAAAAGTACTGTATGGTTGCGCCGTTGATGACCGATTATCGTGGTAGCATAAATGTGTGAATGTTCTACAAAAAGGAGGGTGTTTTGCGGTACAATTTTCAAGCGTCGGGAATCTGCTCTTCGCAGTTGATAGAAGTAGGATTTCAAATGGATTGTGTGTCTGACAGCGCAGAAACCTGATTTATCTACAATGATGGCTGGAATAGCTTCWGCACAGGGTAAGYGTTATCCTGTCGACTCGTTGTTTATATGATTTTRTTATTATGCGTTTGACTTTTCTGATCAAATGAGTTAACTCGTATTCATTCATTTAAAACTTAAGGTAGAGTAATGGATTTCAAGAAATGTTAACTCGAACGTTATGTCTTTGTTTTCTAAAGGACCTTGGGTGATTACACCAGACGAACGATTAAAGCATGAAGCTACGTTTCAAAGCTTAAACCCACACAGCGGATTCTTGTCTGGTAAGTTAATTTTTTAAACAAAACTACGGTGAAACTTTAGATATTAAGATATACATGTAGGAAGCTCTAATTTCTGTCAAATGCCTTTGCTTTCGAAAGCGCGTGAAAACCGATAAATTTTGTAGATATCTATCTGTAATGGCAATAGTTTAAATTCATATTTTATTAACACGAAATATTGGAAAATATTTGTAAATACACAACCCTAATTCCTTGTCTTTGAGGTCCAGACACCTTAATTGATTTCGCACTTCTTCATGAAAGCTCAATTATAATTGTAAATTGTAGCCCATGGCGTTGAATGCTCTGAAATTCAATATTTCTTTATATATGTACATTGATTATTATTTTCATGGGTTTGCAAACACATTTTATTATCGTGGAAAGCCAGTTTTTGGAGTGTAATAATTGTGATAGAAATCTATTTGAAAGATAGGCAAGTATTATTTCACTAAACATACTAAAATGCTAAGATAGTGTCAAAATATAATAATTTTCATAGCAGACCATACATGTAGCACACTGCTAAACACAGCTGGTTTGCTTATAAATGTAATTCTGTATAATAAAAATTTCAATAAAGATTGTTTACATATTTTGTTRTATTCACAGGGTCACAAGCCAAACAGTTTTTCCTCAAATCAAAATTACCACCAATGGTCCTTGGGGAAATCTGGTAGGAAAATGCCAAAATGCTAAATATATCTATCTATGGGTTTACATTTGCCAAAATATCCTGAATTGGCATTAATGAAGGTTTAATGATTTGAATGGTGATGGATTTTTAGGACATGSTGGCTGCTAAACTACACTTTATTATCATAAAAAGTGATCTTGAAAATATCCTAATTGTGATTTTTATATTGATAAAATTCTTTTAATAAAGTACTTTGCTTTTGTTTACTTTGCTGCATCAACCTTGGTGTTTAATAAAATAAAACCTAGCTTTCGACCTAAGCGGTCATCTTCAGGATTATAATGAATCTTATTACAATAACATAAAAACTTCACCATCAAAACAAAGGGTGCGCTTAGGTCTAAAGCTAGGTTTTATTTTATTAAACACCAAGGTTGATGCAGCAAAGTACACTATGAAGTTAAATCCAACCTACAATCATCTTTTTAAATTACTTTTTTTAATGTTTTTTTTATGTTACAGGAGTCTGTCAGACCTTGATCGTGATGGCAAAATGACAATGCAAGAATTCACAGTAGCCATGCATCTTATTCAAAACAAACTCAAAGGAATTGATCTTCCWTCTGCCCTCCCAAATACTTTAAAAATGTCTTCCATGCCRAGYTCTCATCCTTCACCTAAAACAAGCAGCTACAGCCCYAGAGGAGTAACCAACGGATTCACAAACATGTCTGGTGCATCTACATTGCCAAAATCCTCTGGGATATCTTGGTCTGGTATAAACCAATCCTCCTCGACRATGACATCATACGGCGCSATGCCAACTAGTAATAACACTTTAGGATCACTCTCTTCGTCATTTAACATGGGCAGCACTGGTTTTAATAACACTAAYACTACAAATATTGGGTTTTACAATAGCCCTGGAATCATGTCAAGTAGTGTTCAGTCTTCTATGCCATTGAGCCAAGCCAGCTCATTCTCCACTAGTACACCTTCAACTATGAACTCTATAACGCCAGCTGYTAAGCTGAAATATAATCAAATGTTTAAAAGTTTGGATTTCAAGAAAACTGGTTATTTATCAGGTAAGAAACATTGATGATATTTCATTAGAAGAAATTAGAAAACATCCCTCAAAACCTGACCTGAACAATGTTTTTTTTTTCACCATTGTGGCTGATTCAAAGGAGAGAGCTTTTGCATATATTTAAGGCAAAGTCCAAGCCTAATCCAAGCCTAAGCCTAACATTAATACCAGGAGTTTCATTAAATTTGTCGGTGGTTGTTTTAAAAAAATGAACTGGTGTGAATCAAAAGAGGCCAGGTTTTATCGGTTGCTGGCTTTTAAAGAAATCCCATTTGATTTTTTTTGTATAACTGTTTAATGCAATGGTTAAAAGTTAGTAATAATATTTACATGTAGGCTAAGAGGAAGTTGTGTTTCTATAATAGGTGAGCAAGCGAGAGGCGTTTTGATACAATCAGGACTTTCACAGCAAGCTCTAGCAAAAATATGGTAAGTTTTTTAAAGGTTTCCTTTGTCAACCACATTGTTGATGTTCAGTAATTACATGTTGTGTGAATTGATGAAAAATTTTAAACTTATATATGTATTTGCTCTTGTTTTGTGTTTTCATTTTATCTTGTATCATTTTCAAAATTSAATCAAGATTGACATTGAGTAATAMACTCAAAATATRTTTCTAATATTCCTAGGAGTTTATCGGACCTAGACAAAGACAGTCAGTTGAACATAGATGAATTTTCTCTTGCCATGCACTTCGTGGACATGGCCAAACAAGGACATCAGCTGCCTCTCACTACACCMTTAGASCTTCTCTCTCCAGCGCAGGCTAGAATTGTGTCAGAAAGCATGGCAAGTGACCCTGGAAGGGAGAGATCAAGCAGCACCSTTAGTCTTGATGGTCGGTCGMGGTCTGGAAGTATGGCCGATGATAAGAGGAATATATGTAAGTCGATTATTGCAGGAAAAGAAAGTGTTRTTGTTCTCCTTGTTTCTTAGTGCCTCYAATAAGATWTTTTATGCATTTTATATGAAAGCAAATTATTTTCACAGTTACTTTTGAGGACAARCGCAAAGAAAACTTCGAAAAAGGAAGACTAGAACTAGAAAGACGGCGGCAAGATTTGCAAGATAAATTAAAAAGAGAAAGGGATGAAAGGGAAGCGAAGGAACGCGCAGAAGAAGAAAGACGACAAAGAGCAAAAATGGAAGCTGAGCAGAAACGGCAAGCTGAGCTAGAAAAGCARAGACAACAACAGATAGAGATGGAAAAGGAACAAGAGGCTCTAAGGAAGAAGATGATACAACAGAGGCTGGCTGCTCAAATTGAGGCCGAGAAACAGAGGCAGTTGGAGTGGCAGAAGCGCAAAGAAGAAGAGTTATTGAATCAGAAAGGACTAGAACAAGATATTGTAAACAATTTGAAAGCAAGGAAGAAAAATTTAGACGATGAATTAGCATCTGTGGTAAGTTGATAAAGAACATGTAAAACAAGTTAAGGGTTCATTGAAAGCTCACTGGAATTGCAACATTAAGTGAATAAGCCAAATCTCTTTGGCTTTACAACAATTTGCCTTTCAGAAATAGACAATTTGCCTTTCAGAAATAGACAATTTTTCTTAAGTACAAAATCATGGTGCATTGTGGTCTAGCTTCAGTACAAACAATGCCATATTTGGCATGTTTGTACCAAAACTAGACCATAATGCAATGCATGATGCTATTTCAGATAACACCTATGATTAGAGGATTGAGGACAAGTTTCTAAAATTAATGATCCCTAATGCAAGAAAGATCACATCAAAACTAGTTTTGGATCATTACGATGTAAGCGCTACTTCAACCTAAAAGTTATTTATTTTTGTCGAGCTTTTTAATGTAACGTTTTTCATTCAGTCTTGATAATGGCTCGGTGAGCCGAAAGCTCGACAAAAATAAATAACTTTTAGGTTGAAGTAGCGCTTACATCGTAATGAATAGACCAACCTACAACCATTTATTTGATCTAGTTTTGGATCCTTCAAAACATCATTTTAATGTGATTTTTCTTGTAATATAGGGGATCATTTCATAATCAGATTAATCTTATAAATTTGTGGCCATTTCTTCTCATTTTTRAAAACACCAACTATTGTTAAGGCTGATTTACACGGCACGATTGTCTTGTGCGACTTGTAGTATACAACTTGAATCGCRCAGTGTAAATGCCCCTACGACTTGTCTACAACAGTCGTACGCAACCTACGACTTGTAGTAGGACTTTGAACCACTGCTTAAAATCCTACGACTTGTAGTAGGAAAATCGTATGCTACAAGTCGCACCCGACAAATCGTACTGTGTAAATCAGCCTTTACTGACAGTTAATATTTATGTTTATTTTTTCATTTGTAAGTCATAGATCTAGGTTTAAACTAAAATCTTTAGTCCATACGGTCGTAAGAWGAAACTAGTTTTCTCAATAAACTACAAGTTTTTGTGTGCATAAAGGACTAAAGATTTCAGTTTAAACCTATATCTATTACTTCAAGATGAAATTTTCTAAGTCCTTAAATGTCAAAGYAATCAATATGTCTCAAATATTTATGTTTGTTAATATTAGTGCCATTTTGTTAATGTTAGTGTTATTTTTTTTCAGGTTGGAAAGAAAACAGCTGCTCAACAGAGCTTTGACAAGGAGCAACAGGCCTGTGTTGAAGCACAAACAAGCTACAATACTGTACACCAAAATAAAGAGATGCGAATCAATGATATTAGTCGGATACAGTGTGAAATTAAGGTACAGACAGACAGACAGAAATATTTTAGTTAATATTTGTATTTATCATATATTAATTATCTATGAAATACCTACATTTCTCTATTTCGTAACGTTGATATTTTCACTAGTGAAAATAACACATTCAAGGTTTCTCTATATAGTGGAAGTAAGAAAAACGGATTTTACGACATAATTTGCTTTCATATGTAATTATATGACAAATATTACATGGGTGCGCAGGGATATGGTTTTTATCTTCGAGTGTTTAAAACCACTTCAACAAAGATCTTTTCAACACTCRAAGATAAAAACTGTATCCCCACCCGCCCATGTAATATCCTCAATTCATCACATACAGCTATGGCTGTACAGACTGTTCTTGATATATCATAATTGTTATTAGTTACTTTTAATAGTGATACATTTTTATAGGAATATCAGCAAAGACTTGCAGCCCTTAGCAATGAAAGAGAAAGGGTTTCATTAGAATTGAATCGCATGGATACAAGTAAACTAGGTGAGTCTTYAATTTTTGAGAAATAGAGTCTTGATAGCAAAGAAATCAGTAAACACACAAGCAAATAAATGAACAAAAAAATGAATGGATGGATAAAAAAATGAATAGATGAACAAATRAATGGATGAACAGATTTAATGGGATGAAAAAAATTAATGAATGAGCTTGCAAATACTGTAATAGTTTAATAAATCTTACTTAGAATTGATGAACTTTGTACCCTGGTACTAACTAATTTATACAAGCTGACATGTTTTGTAATGTTTGTTGTGTTTGTATCAGCTGAAGCCCATGGCAACGCAATGGTGAGCCTGCAAGACAGCAAAGGTGCCATGAAACGAAAACAAACAACACAAAACAACCTGGAAAAAGATTTGAATGATAGACTTAAAGAAGTTGATTCCCTGAACACACAGCTGAAGGTAAATTAGTGGGAATTCAGAGCAAAATTTGGTCAGTTACATGCATTGGGAGTTTTGGAGAACAGTGCGTCTGCCATCTTGAAAAGTGGGACTAGAATCACTAAACTATACCTCCTAAAGAAATGAAAGGTTTTAAGCTAATGTCAAGTTATATAGAGCAAACGCAAGAAAACCATGAAATAAAAACAAACTAAATACTAAAAACAGAAGCTATTGAGAGACAATTTGTCAGTATCAATGAACCAGAACACAGTCAAGATGAATCCACGAGACCATTTTCATCTTGATTGGTTCATTGATGCTAACCAATCGTCTCTAAATAGCCCCTATTTGTTAGTATTTTGTTTGGTTGTATTTCATGGTTTTCCTGCGTTTGCTCGTAATACGATACAATGATAGGTTAGTTGACTTCATGAGTGAATGTTGAACTGTCCAGTTTCAATRATGTGTTGTTTTTTATCCTTTTTTTCTGATATAGGATGTACAAAATAGTATACAACAGTTCACAGAAGAAAATGCAAGACTACACCAAATGACAGAGTCAAAACAAAGAGAATATACGTTATGGAAGCAAAAGAAAGACGACGAAGAAAGAATCAAAAAAGAACACGAGGCAAAATTAAGAAGAGAAGAAGAAGAAAATCGAAAACAAAAAGAAMGAGAACAAGAAGGTAACTTGTTATAATAAAACTTTTCGTGATTTTTGTGTGTAAGTTTGTTTTTACTTTGGTCTTATTTTATCTTAGTACTTTTTTTCAAGCTTAACATCTATTTCACCCCGACCTGCTCCCAGTCTGGCCTTGTAGCTCAGCTGGTAGAGCATCGGTGTACAAATCCGAAGGTCGTGGGTTCGAATCCCAGCGAGGTCGGAAATTAATTTTTCCGAATTTATTCCTAAGGGACTTCTCCCGGAATTGCCTCCTTCTAAGCACTATAACTTTCTTTCATTTCTATATCTTTTTTTCAACTGTTTTCTGCATTTCCCTTTCTTCTTAAACTTTTTTTCTCATTCTTCTTATCTGCATCGCTTTTTATTGTTCATCAACTTCTTTCATTCCTCCTTGTCTTTTTTCACCTTGTCATTTCTCTATTCAGATATATTTTGCATCTGTAAAGTTGTTGCCGTTGTATTCTTTCACTTTTTTAATCTATTTTCTCCGTGTGCTTTTTCATCTGCACTAGGGTTGCTTGTCTTGTCTCCAATGCATAGTTTTGCGTACTGCACTCTTCTTCAATTTACATGTCAATAACTGACTAGTCTACGTAGCCGCTCTAGAGGAGGGGGGAGGAAACGAAAGGGTGGAGGAAAAGGAAAATAAAAGGGCTCTTATTTTTTCTCTACTTCCCCCCACTCCCCTCCCCTTCCATTTCCTCCCTCCACCTTCCATAGAGACGCTATCCAAGGTAATAACTGACAAACTTCCATTACAAAYCACAGCAATGCGACTAGAACAAGAAAAACAGAAAAAAGAACAAGAACTTCGGCGACGAATGCAGGAAGCCCGTGAAGCCGAAGCAATACGCAAAGACCAGCAATTATTAACCAAAGATAAAATAGTTGTACAGCAACAGCAAACACTTGTGAACACTGCACTCAATAGACAAGAAAYTAGTAATTTTACCCCAGATTGGACTTCCACGGCGAATGTTACTACATCACAGAGCATTTCTACTAGCAAAATAGAGAAAAAACAAGGTAGTTGAAATGATATGTGTCTAGTAAATGCAGTTTCAAGTACGGTTATTCCAGAAAACGTTGAATACTGAAAAATGTGTTTCCAGGACTGAAATGCATAGTTGGTCGTACTATCGACTTTCAAAAGGACATTTCGTTGTGTCAGAGTTACTTTACCAGCTCCGTTCAGTCAAGAGCTTCAAATGGAAGGGCCGGTTCACACTACGTATGACATAAGCAGAAACCGAAGCAGAAGCTTGTTCACACTTGACAGAATCATGTTCTTCTGCTTATGATGGTTTAGACTCATAATCTTTCAACACAAACAGAAGCATAAGAAAATTAAAAAGTTTCCATTTACATCTGCTTCTGTCTCTGTTTGATGTACAGTAAGATCCCTAAATTATACAGGATTTACCAGCTTAATGAAATCTTATATTTATATTAATTCTCAACGTAGTAATTAATTTTATTTTCTTATTTAAACATTTTTAATATTTATTGTAATTACATATTTTAGATTTTAGCTTACGAATATCATTATGTGTTGATATTTATAATCGTTAATTTTTATTATTATTATTTAGATTTTTTTGACCAAAGTTGTACATTTACATTATTTTGATTGGTCCTAGACTTGATGCGAAAGCGTTGTCTAGTATTAAATTGTAAATGTAAATGTAAATGTTTTCCCCGGTTCACACATACAGTGTACAAAGCACACTTCTTCTGCTTCTGCTTATGCCTCAGTGTGAACAGGCCCCAACTTTAGAAATGTCACGCAGATAAAAATAACGTTGAAAAGTAACGGTGCATTGCAGTCTTGGTAAACACTATACAGTATTCAGAGTTTTCTAAAATATCTTTATAATCATTTCTAAATATTTTGAATATTCTTTACACAGAAATTGTAACCCCTAGACCTCGGCCAAGACCACCAATCAAGAAGAATTTAGAATATTACAAAGTCWTGTTCACATTTGATCCCAGAAATCCTGATGAGATTTTGGTTGAAGAGGATCAAATTGTCACTGTAAGTTTGGTGTATTAGAATTGTAACAGTTGTGTGAAAAGATAAATTAAACACCGTAAAAAAGTAGGTGAAAAAAACTTACTGACGTTTCGGACGTTAATCCTTCGTCGGAGTAAAGAGATGGAAGAACTAGGTAAAGTGTGAGTTTATATAATAAGAGTAGCAAAGAAGGTAGTTACCGCGAGTTCCCACCTATTAGAATTGTAATTGCAAATCAACAAGAGTACAAACACTAAAACTGTGCAACATAAATACCTCTAAATACTGCTAAATTTATACTAATTCTATTGTTTAATTAACACTATTTTGTAGTAAATAGTGAAAAGTGTTGCACACATTTAATGTTTGTACTCTATTAATGTTTTATTAATCCTTTGAAGGTTGATCCTGACAATAGGAACGCCCCGCCAGGCTGGTTGAGAGGCACCTGTCAAAACAAGACGGGTCTATTCCCAGAAAACTATGTCGAAAAGATCACAGAAGAGGAAGCTAAAAAGCCAACCATCACTTCTGTGAGCGCCCCAAGCCAAGAAGAAAAAGTTCCCGAAGTGTCTGTCAAATCCTTAGTCGCGTCAATTAGTAAACAATTAGGAGGCGGTGGGGGTGGTAGTGGGGGATCCATTGSCGGAGGCACAAGTAGTGGTGATATTGAAATAGTGAACAGAAGTAGAACGCAAGAGAGTGTAACAACGACAGCTTCAACTACAGATGAAAATGTATGTAAAGTGTTTTTAGTTTAACCCCACGTGCGTCCGAGAACCTTTGCGAGGTTTACTTACATAAGAAAATTCRCCATCTTGATATTAAGCTATTCAGGAAGCAACAGATCAGATCAAAAACAGATACGTTTTTAAACAAAATTCAGGTTCGCAAAGGTTCTGGGAATCACATGGGACTTATTCCCTTATTTTTTCCAAGTCATCCAAAAACTAATCCTATTCTCATTTTCTTTCCATCCCAGGTTCAAAGGTCAAGTGGAGAAACGCCTGCCCCTCAGGGTCTCACTGCTGTAGCCTTGTACCCATATAGGGATAAGAAAAAAGGCGATGTTCAACACTTAAGCTTTAATAAAGGAGATGTAATCACTATTCAAGAGCAACAAGATATGTGGTGGTCTGGGGAACTTAATGGCAAAGTTGGATGGTTTCCTAAATCGTATGTTAAACTATCATCTACGGCTAAACCAATCGCAAGGTAGGAAAATGTGATACAAAAATCACTARAGCGGATTTCGTATGAGTGGGACACCGTTACCGCACAGTTACCGGACCTGGCCTGCAAAATTTTGGTGAACCAATGGGGCACTAGAATTTGGTTACAGTACGATTACGGTCACAGTACAGTACCGTCCGTTTCCCACTCATACGAAATCCGCTCTAAGGAATGAAGAGCCTTACGTTTGAACATAGAACTTTCTTAAAGGGTTGTGGTCAGCCGGCATTCATTGCGGTCGTGTTTTAGATTTTTCATATATGGAAAATGAGGTGACTTCAAAAATTTCCATCCGTCGGTTTTTAGATCGTATCTTACAATATCTCCATTTATAGATCGTAATGGATAATAAAGAGTTAGTTTTTGCTTACATTACGAATTACTTTTATTTTCAAACCTAAGAAAAAAACTCGCAAGTGATTCTGGTTGACCATGGCGCTTTAATGGCCCTAGTTCATGGCCCTAGTTCATGGCCCTAGTTCATTATGACATCACATCAAAACATTCTATTGTTTTAACGCTAAGGATTATGGTCGCCAGAAGGGATCAGAGTGACTGCATTTCAAATAAAATGTACATGAACAATCATTTATACATGATATATATATCAAAACACGATTCATTGAAGTTCTACTTTAGTAGACATTATAAATGGGTCCAAATTTCCATTGTTTTTGAGCATCGTTTTCCGATGTAAACATACTGTGACGTCATAATGAAATAGGGCAATTGCTGCGACAGTATAGCCTTTCATCGGAGCTGCGTCGATGCCGCTTCGGAGATACGTCGGTTTTGAYAATGAAACAGTGGAACAAAATGCTAGATGATCCATCGTCGTAGCCTGGCATTCCTAGCGTGTCCCTGGGAGTTCAGGGCTGGGAAACAGAATACAAAAACTCAAAAATACAAATACTACTTTTGAATCAACTTTTATCTTAAATAAAATTGTAGACCAGTGCAGCCTGTTGAAACCAGTCCTACCTACGATACACCACCTACTGAACCAGTACAACCCAAACAAGAAGATCTTCCTATTCTTTTTGGTAAGATTTACTTTTGCTTTTTACCAACATGACCGCCTTCTTGCTTTTCTTTTGAGGAACTATAATACTTTCTTGGAAACAAAATCGCGAAATCTTATGCCCGAAAGATATATCACTTAATTTTATATATAGATAAAGATAGCGGTCACCCTCACAATTTAGTGGTAATTATAAGGTACTATAAACGTTTTCCTTTCTTATCGTCAGAATGTGTTGCTTTATATCCATATACCGGAGAGCCAACGGATCTAACC